CACAGATCGCTTGACGGAGAATGAAACTCTGAAGCGCTCAGTCAGAGTGTTCTGTGAGTGAAAATATATCTGTGCTAATCATATACTCAGCCTCCAACTCACACACTGTCGAGTAAAATCGGAGAATTTATTAGCCATTGGCTAATATTAGACCTCATTTAGTCGCCCAGAGTGAAGATTTAGTCGCATATGCAAGTGATTTACTCGCAATGTAGAGGGTTGCATAAACTTCTTTTCTTTAATAGATCGATGCCACGTGAAAGGTCTTCTTCTGAAACTCAATCTGGTTCTTTCTTCAGGCGTGCCAGCTGCCGTTGTTCTCCTACATTGTGGAACGGCTTTGCGCATGCTGTTATGAGCAGGCCTGGTATGCTAAGCTGGGTGGAGTGGTGTCCATTAAGTTCCTGATGGAAAGGCTTCCTCTGATCTGGGTGTTGCAAAACCAGCTGACCTTCCTCAAAGCTCTGCTCTTCGTCATGATGGACCTCACAGGAGAGGTACAAACATTTTGTAATTTCATTAGAAATCATTGATGTTTGGGTTACCTGCATGAACTTCTGTATCCCATGATGGCTCTCACAGGTGTCTAATGGCGCAGTTGCAATGGCAAAGACCACACTGGAGCAGTTGTTGATACGCTGTGCCACTCCTCTTAAGGATGAGGAGAAGACTGAGGAGCTTCTGTCTGCCCAGGATAAATCTTTCCATCTGGTGACTCATGACCTGGTACGGGAGGTCACCTCCCCCAATTCCACTGTCCGCAAGCAGGCCATGCACTCCTTGCAGGTGCTGGCTCAAGTCACAGGCAAGAGCGTCACCATCATCATGGAGCCTCATAAAGAAGTGAGTGTGGTATTTTTTGATGCGATATTAAGGACTGGGGCAGGACCTTCTTTGCTGACCCCGCCAGATTTTTACTTGCCCTGCCAACATTTTTCCTGGCCCCACTATTTAAAATGATACATTTATATTTTTAAAAACATGTTATTGCTAGAAAAAAAGAGTTGTATTAATGAGGTTTTTATTAATTATATTTCATTTACGTTAGGGTTAGGGTTAGGTATATTTATTTTCTAATAAAGAAACAATTTACAACAAAAATGTATTAAAATGATTTAAAATTAATGTTAGATTTATATTTATTTAAAATTTTTTTTTTTGCTAAAATAGAAACTATTTGCAACTGATTTTTAGATTTATTTATTTTTATTTAATTCGAATTAAATATCAGTGTTTTCATTTGTTTTACATTTTACAATTGTTTTACATTTTTATAGTTAACTAGGTTTTGCAAGAATTAATATACCACTCTAATTTGACAAGCATTTTTTTGCAAAACATAATCTGTCAGCTTAATATGATGTTGACTTAAATCAGCACAATTCATGGCCACAATATTTCACAGAAAAACAATTTTTTACGTCACAACACACTTATATTTTGTAAGTTTAGATAATGCTACACTGGCCAAGTGGCCTTTCCATCAACTCTATCAACACGAGCCCAGGGCTATCACACAATTCTTATTGTTAACTCTTGCAAGGAAGGAACATTAGGCCAGTCAGCTTCCTTCCTCTATTCAGGGAAAGTTTAAAACCTTTTCCTCCAGGTGCTGCAGGACATGGTTCCTCCAAAGAAACACCTTCTGCGACACCAGCCCGCCAATGCTCAGATCGGCCTTATGGAGGGCAACACCTTCTGCACCACCCTACAGCCTCGCCTCTTCACCATGGACCTCAATGTGGTGGAGCACAAAGTCTTTTACACAGAGGTCAGTCGGAAACTTTCTGCTTTTAAGTGGGTAATATGAAATCACCAATGTGTTGATGCTCTGTGTGCTTCCTCTCTGAGCTCCAGTATCTCTGATTTGACAGTTGCTGAACCTGTGTGAAGCTGAGGATGCTGCTTTGATGAAGCTGCCCTGTTATAAAAGCCTTCCTTCACTGGTGCCGCTGCGCATTGCTGCTCTCAGTATGTGCTACTTTTTTTATTAGTGAGCTAGTGAGCTGCCTGGCTGATTTTTGCCTACATAGGCAGGCACCTTCCTTCTAAGGCTGCATGCTAATTGAAATGGATCCTGATAAGCGATTGATTTGGAAGAATTTAAATAGGCAGCAACTCTATATGTATACAAATGAACCGCCACACACAGTTGATTGCAAGTTTGTTGTTAGCATGGTGCTAAGGTAAAGTAGTCCTTGTTTAATTAGATTAAATTCACCAAGGCTGCATTCATTTGACTCAAAGATACAGTAAAAACAGCAATCTTGAGAAATATTATTACAATTTAAGATTTCCTATTTTAAAACTATTTCCTATTTTAATATATTTAAAAAAAAAATTTAACCTGTGATGGCAAAGCTGAATTTACATCACGTTACTCCAGTTTTCAGTATCACATGATCCTTCAGAAATGATACTAATATGCTGATTTGGTGCTCAAGAAACATTCTTATTGATTAAAAAAGTTGTACTGCTTCATATTGTAATAGACATTGCATTTTCTGCTGAGGATATATTCAGTGCTGCCTTCAAAGTTTGATATCTTAGAATGCTACAATATCATACTACTTACTTTTCTGTTTGTAGTGTGCCTGGGATGCCTTAACATGCTGCCTACATAGGCAGCTCACTAGGTTTTAGAACAGTGACCTGAAACTTCTTAAGTGACTGTCACATACTGATAAATGTAAATGTTTTTGGTGTTTGCCACATAACTGGAATAAAATAAAAAATGTGTGCTGAATATTAGGGCCTGAGTGTCCGTCTTTATCATTTTTTCTGTTGAACCCTTCCGTGTGTGTCTGTTCAGATGCCCTGGCGGCCTGTAACTACCTTCCCCAATCCCGAGAGAAGATCATTGCTGCCCTCTTCAAGGCCCTCAACTCCACTAACAGTGAGCTCCAGGAGGCCGGAGAGGCCTGCATGAGAAAGGTTAACCCTCTTCATCCACAAGCCTCATTTCCTTTCTCCTATCTCTCAGTCTCTTCCGCACACTATCTCTGCCCTGCTGCCTCTAATGAGTCCTGCCTGAAAAGATCAATACAGGATGGAGTGAAACAGGCTGAGAGGAAAATGAATTTGGCCGTGATGCATCGTCTCATTGCGGAAGGCTGGCGTGGCCTTTCTTTTTGCGCTGGGTTTAGAGTTTTTCTGCTCCTGTGAATTGACAGGACAGTAGCGAAAAACAGGGTTTTAAGACGCTATTATCTTGTAGTCTTCCTTGTAGGGCATGTAAAAGCAGCTGTCTCTATTAAGCTCTCATGGGCTGTTTAATGGCTATATATATGCTTTGAAGTCTGAGTGTGTATTCATGTTCAAATGTGTTTCTCAGTTCTTAGAGGGGGCTACTATCGAGGTGGATCAGATCCATACACACATGCGGCCCCTGCTGATGATGCTCGGAGACTATCGCAGTCTGACACTCAATGTGGTCAACAGACTGACATCCGTCACTCGTCTCTTCCCCAACTCCTTCAATGACAAATTCTGTGACCAAATGATGGTAAGGACAAATCACCATTGATAATAAGAATTTTTTTCTTAAACACCAAATCAGATTATTAGAATGATTTCTGAAGAATGATGTAAACACAGAAGACTGTATTAATGGCTGCTATGTATTTAAGTTTAATAAAATTAAATGTAACAAAAAAAACAAAAATAATTCTAAAATAATTTATTTTATGTATACACCTAGCAGTCAAACGTTTTTGAACAGTACGATTAAAATTTTTTTTTTTTAAAGAAGTCTCTTCTGCTCACCAAGTCTGCATTTATTCGATCCAAAGTACAGCAAAAATAGTAAAATTATTTTAAAATATTTTTACTATTTAAAATAACTGTTTTCTATTTGAATATATTTTAAAATGTGATTTATTCCTGTGATTTCAAAGCTGAATTTTTAGCATCATTACTCCAGTCACATTATCCTTTAGAAATCATTCTAATATTCAGATTTGCTGCTCAAAAACATTTATTTTTATTATTATGTTATAAACAGCTGAGTAGAATTTTCAGGTGTTTTGATGAATGGAAAGCTCAGAAGAACAGCATTTATCTGAAATAGAAATCTTTTGTAACATTGGTAATATCTTTATCATCACTTTTGATCAATTTAAAGCATCCTTGCTAAATAAAAGTATTCATTTCTATAACCCCCCCCCCCAAAAACAAGTATTATCATCACTTTTGATCAATTTAAAGCATCCTTGCTAAATAAAAGTATTCATTTCTATAACCCCCCCCCCAAAAAAAATTATAATATATAAAAGACCGTATATAAATTCTGTGACCAAGAGCACAGACTCAATGTTTCTTCTGCTCTTGCAGCAACATCTGCGTAAATGGATGGAGGTGGTGGTGATCACGCATAAAGGAGGCCAGCGTAGTGATGGCAGTGTGAGTATAAGCTGGTTTTAATATCTCTGTTGAATTATTTGTTGTACTTCACAAGGGCGGCGGCCTCGTTATATATCAATGTGCGGAAGGGGTCTGTAGATACAGAGAGCTCAGATGAGACTGGACTCCCTCCTCCAGCCCAGATCGCCCCGCTCAGACTCTGTGAGTGGCCATATTACAATCAATGATTAATTAGGCGCCATCCACCCCCAGGCCGCCTAAGTAACGAGCCTCAGAGTTCTGGATCCTCGTTATCTTGTTGGACAGATAACCTTGTAGAGTAAGAAAAGGTGAGAAGGGGAGAAAGCCTTTCTGTTTCCACGCTTCAAAACGAGCTGCCATTATTTCTGTCTTGTTCACGCCCTGCCTTTCTCTAAAATGTATTATAATTACATGCAAATTAGCCCTCTGTTCCTGCAGTTCTTAATATTCTTACAACAATGACAGAATGACCAGCCATACATGACAATGAGGAGGGGTCAGTCGGGTTTAGAGTTGGAAGGGTGGGGGGCATTCAGAATGCTAGTTCCAGAAGATTAGTTTAGTCATACTGAGAAAAAGAAGGTCAGTTCAGGGAGAGGGTACAGATTTATCCTTCATGAGAGCATATACTCCGATAAGCCCATGCTGGTGTGCTGCTTCTGTACTGGGTTTGTTCTTCAGTGCTTGTATTTCAATGTTTTCTCAGTGTAAAAATATCTTGACAGTGTCCCAAATATAGAGCGAAGATGCAGTCAGCGATTATGAAGACTGTGCCTTGTTCTCTATGCCATTCTGTTCAAAGGGAATAATTTTTTTTCATATTTATCACAAAAATTTGTCATGTTCATGTTTTACCCCTGGAAAAACAAATCATAAAAATATATACTTTTAGGACTAGTAAAAATTTTTGGATTTGTGATATGTATGACATTTGATGTAATGTTAATTTAATTATTAAAATTAATGCAAGTTTTGATGTAGTTAGGGATGCACTGTTATTGATACTGGCATCATTATCGGGCCAAATACTGTACTCATTCTCATTAAAATGCTCTGATAAAAATAGAAACACAAGTCAAATCTGCTGAATTGTTCTGAAAATCTCAATGCAAAACATTTGATCCTAATAGTAGATTAGGTTTTCTTTATGCAAAATATTTTTAATACAATACAAAGCATGTGTATATGTATGTTATATATAAAATATTATTGCAAGTATTTAGGTTACCTTTGAACATTATTAAATTGAGTGCATTACTTGTTTGTCAAGATAATTATTAAAATATTGCATTTAAATGTTTAGTAACAATCATCGGTTTTGCAGTTATGCATCATTTAGCACTATGGTCCTAACGCCCATACTTTTGTATGCCCTTCATGCTAATTAATCAGTACTGTGTATTCCCACACATGATTTCTCTCACCTTCAGTTTACATGCTGAATATCAATGGATCTGTGGATAGAGGCCAGCTGAAATGCTGCCCGTTTCAATTCAGAAAGAATTTTTTTACCTCACATTTTTTGGCCTTTGCAACAAGTGCACAACCTAGAAGAAGGATTGCTTTGCACAGAATCACACACACACCACCTTTCACATGAACCCATCTCCTCAATCCATACAGCACTCATTACCCACACTGCTTTGCTGATTGTTTGTTGTCTCCTGTTCTGGCGCAGCCTGTCATGGAGGGTGTAGAGGTGAGATGGCGGCCTGCTGTGGGGTCTTCACTGACTCCGCTCTCATTGTGCTCGTGGTTACTCTGTGCTAGTGGAGTCTTTGTAACCGTATCTCTGTGTCTGTGGTGTTGTGTTTGACCTCTACGTTTCACATTTCTGAGGTGGTCCCTCTCAATCCTGCATCCATATGAAGTCCCGTGGATCTATGATGTTTTCAGGAACCAACCTGCCACTCTGACTTTCCCACAGATGTTCCTCAACTTGTCACTGTTGATTATATATTACAGGAGGTACACTTGGTTTTCCACTGCTGGTTATCACTAACAGTCACTGTGATGTATTCCTTCATGCACTTCTGCAGGAAATGAGGATCTGTTCAGCCATTATAAACCTCTTCCACCTGATACCAGCTGCTCCACAGACACTGGTGAAACCTCTGCTGGAAGTGGTCATGAAAACGGAAAGGGCGATGCTCATAGAGGTACAAGATTGTCATGCAAAAATGTCAAATGTGTCAAATGAAATTGAATATAAATACCTATTAGTATTAATTTCAGCCCGCATTGAAATCAAGATAATTAGACTAATGTGGCAGATTTGTAAATCACTGAATAGACCACACACACACACACACACACACACCTATATACACACACACACACACACATAAACTACTGTTAAAAAGTTTGGGATCAGTATATATTTTTTTAATTGAAAGAAATTCATACTTTTATTCAGCAAGGATCCATTAAATGATCAAAAAGACATGTTTGAAAAATTTTCATCAAAAAAAAAAATCACCATTTCCACAAAAATATTAAGCAGCGCAAGTGTTTTCAACATTTACAATAAAACAAATTGTTTCTTAAGAACTAAATCAGCAAATTAGAATGATTTCTGAAGGATCATGTGACAATGAAGACTTCAGTAATGGCTGCTAGAAATCTGACTTTGCACAGGAATCAGTTACATTTTAAAAATTTATTAAAAGTTAGGATATTTTTTACAATACAAATATTGTGGTTTTATACAATTTGCATGTTGTTACTCTACAGGCTGGCAGTCCCTTTAGAGAGCCACTGATCAAGTTCCTGACGCGTCATCCATCTCAAACAGTGGAGCTTTTCATGATGGAGGCCACTCTCAATGACCCACAGTGGAGCCGCATGTTCATGGTTTGTGTTTTTTCTTTCTTGTCCATACCTCATACTGTATTGTGTCTTTGTTTAAAAATTCCGTGCCATTATATCTTATGAATGTTGCTTTTTTTCTTCAACCTTTTATCATTTTTCTCATTTGCAGAGTTTCCTTAAGCACAAAGATGCCAAGCCACTTCGAGATGTCTTGGCTTCTAACCCAAATCGATTTGTCCCTCTGCTGGTTCCAGCTGGGCCTGCAACAACTGCGAGACCTGGGTCTCCTTCCACCAGCACTGCCCGCCTTGACCTGCAGTTCCAGGCCATCAAGGTGGGCCAAACACGCTCTTAACTGAACCATTTACTGTTAGATTTTATGTAATGTGCTTGTTTGTAGAGCCTGAATATTAATGAGAATTAATAAACTCCCTCAGATCATAAGCATCATTGTGAAAAATGATGAAGGCTGGTTGGCAGGTCAGCACTCTTTAGTGAGTCAGCTCAGGCGTGTGTGGGTCAGCGAGGCCTTCCAGGAGCGTCATCGCAAAGACAACATGGCTGCAACCAACTGGAAAGAGCCCAAACTACTAGCATACTGTCTGCTTTGCTACTGCAAGTAAGTGTTTTGTTTGGTGGTGCAGACATTACACATTTCTCAAGTTTAAAGTGCCCCTATTATGGGTAATGAAAGGTTCATATTTTGGTTTTGGGAGTCTTCAACAACAGGTTGACATGCATGCAAGGTCAAAAAACACTTTCATTGTTTTATAATATGCATTTATTTTTATCTTACTTGCTCAACGACTCCCAATTGATTCGCTCAACGATTCATTTTTCCAAACCCCTCCTTTGCGTGACGCTAATCTGCGGTGAATGGTCCGATTGGTCTCATTTTCATTTCATCATGCCTGTAATGCCTGATAAACCAGCGTTTGTGAGCGCAGTGCTGCTTTGTGTACATGTTAATAGCTTGGAAAATGGAAATGCAATGCTTTTAGCTTGATTCTTTTTCACTAAAGTTGTACATTTTCTTTCAGACGCAACTACTCTGAGATTGAGCTACTCTTTCAGCTTCTGAGAGCCTTCACTGGTCGCTTCCTGTGCAACATGACCTTCCTGAAGGAATACATGGAGGAGGAAATCCCAAAGAACTACAGCATCACACACAAACGAGCGCTCTTCTTCCGCTTCGTGGAGTTCAATGACCCACACTTCAATGATGAGCTCAAGGCAAAGGTGAGGTTATACCATTTGTACACCTGTGTATGAGTATTAACATGTTAAGAAGAAACTCCCATGGATTTTGCCTTTGTGGTGACCTCTTATTTTTGATTAAGAGCTACCACGAGTGTGACTGATGCCATGACATGGGCCTCCATGGTCAGCATTATAAATTCCACCTTTGCGGTACATTTCTGTTGAGAGTGGCACAGCGTCACGCTCTCTTAACGCTGACCATCTAATGCGGCTAACAACCAGCCCCTGCTGAATATGTATGCTCAGTAGGGGAGGGCGACAGGGACTGGTCGTGCATGACACACTCGGTTCTCAAAGGCACGTCTCCACAGTCAACCGAAGTCTTTGAAGAATGCTAATGAATATTTATCTGCAGATTACTCTAATAGCCATTGCTCATACGCTGAGGGTTTGCCTTTAATCAGCCCTGGAGAAGATGGGTAACGTAGATGATGGAGCAGGGCTCAAAACAAAGAATGTTTTCTGCTAGCTCGGATGCGTCAGTAGTTTAGATTAGTTTTTTTTGGGTGACATTTTCACTGTCACCGAGGCAAAAAAAAAAAATAATTGTGCAGTTGCTTTAAATGACAACATATCACATAGATTAATGTTGCATTTTTGGCAGTGTTCCCTTCTTTGTTGATTATTTTGAACATACACCTGTGAAGGGGTGTTTATAGTGGGCAAGCACTACCTGGAGTACATGGACCCACCGGTAAACAGGTCAATCGGGATATTCAAGGCTGTGTTTCTTATTCCCGCTTCATTTTTATTCATGTGAAAGAATTCCATCAAGTTTGAGTATGAGATCAAATGCCAGTTTATTAAAAAGAACTGGAGGTTCTCCTCAAATTGCCACCCTCTACGATGACATTGAGGAAACGGTAGCCATATATCGGCAGATAGTCTTCACAGCTTTGATGGCTGAGGCTGCTCTTGCTCTGCTAAATCACCCCTCACAGTCAAACAGACGTTGCATCCCAAACATTCCCCAGGAGAGCTCAGCAGCTGCGCACTCTTAACAGAATACACGTTTAAGGTGATGTTTTCAGGCAGCTGGAGCCGCAGCGGTTTGGGCTGTGATGGATCGTGTAGAAAAGGATTTGTTGTGATCCATCACTCATGCGAACGGTAGAGGGGCTCATTAGGACGAGGGATAATGAAGGAACACCTGCAGCCCCACGGCCCCCATGTTTGAATAAATCCACATGCTGATGCACACGTCAGCTAGCAAACAACCCAACCATTGTGTCTGACTAGACAAACTATTGTCTTGTACAAAGCTAGTATTATCTCATAGCTTAAATTACCAAGTGGTACATGGTTGACATGCTTATTAATCTCTGATATTTCTTTCAAATTAATAATGTAGAGCAGAAACAAAGTCATTAGTGTTCAAAGATGCTAATTATGTAACACATAAGAGTTAACATATGGGAAGTCAGGGCTTGAAGGAATTAGGGGTTTTGAGTATCTAAAAACATGGCCACAATTGGTCAGTGACAGTAATATAGTGATCTTCAGGGTGATTAATATCAGTTAACTTACAAATGAACCAAATCTGAGGTGCTACGTTGTGCTTTTCTCTCTCTTCTGTCATCATCACACTTTTTAATGGCTTTATCTATGCCAGCGCTGCCAAAGCAGCCATGGTTTTGATCATTTAAGCAAATTCAATCAGTTCAGTAAATTACAACATGCTTAAAAACTATAAAGATTCACTCACCATGAACCTTTTTCATTAAAGTTAACACAAAGCATGAAGTAGAATTGTTGGCATATGATTAAATATACACTCACATGAAGACTCCAGTGGCCCTTAGTTCTTGTTATACATGAAGCAGGTTACCCATCATAGGGGCAGCTATTCTGAGATGTCTTTCTATTATTATAATTATTAGTGATGATGATGGTGATAATAAACAATTAAATTTTTGTCATTTATATTTATACAATGTATTTATATAGGCTGTAACAACATAGGCTGTCTATGCCATGGTGTCAGTTTGGAGTCCAAGACCTGTGGGATGAATAACAGGCAACAAAATTATTTTTCTCAAACAATTGTAATGCTGCTCATTTGATAAACAGACACCCTCCCAGTTCTTTGATATCCTCAATGTAAATACATAAATGTAACTTACATGTTGTTTGTGTCCACTTTCCAGGTGTTGCAGCACATCCTGAACCCAGCCTTCCTATACAGCTTTGAGAAAGGAGAAGGCGAGCAACTGTTGGGGCCGCCCAATCCAGAGGGTGACAACCCTGAGAGCATCACTAGTGTCTTCATCACCAAGGTAACCCTCTCCAACAGCACCATAAGCAGTGCTTTCACTCTGTCTTTTATCGAGTCATCAGTTTATCCAGGATGACCTCTGGCTGTTATTTCACCAGCAGAAATGTCAAGGCTACAATAAAGGTCACAGTGTTTGCTTTCCAGGCAATGAAGGTTAATAGCCTTCATTTATTTCACGCTTAAATTGATTGTCTCTCCCCTGCTGGTAATCATAGCAAAGAGCAAACCAAACAGCCCGTTTGTTCCCCGGGATTGTTTTCAACACCTCCAGCAGGAAAGGAAGCTCTTCAAGTTTAAACAGACTTTTAAGTCTGCTATATCCCTCACAGCCCTAAAAAGAATGCATCGTTTAGTGTCTTATAACACATTTTTCCCGTTATTGTAGGTTCTTGATCCTGAGAAGCAGGCAGATCTGGCCGACTCATTGCGGATCTACTTGCTTCAGTTCTCAACCCTGCTGGTAGAGCATGCTCCTCATCACATCCATGACAACAACAAGAGCAGAAACAGCAAGCTGAGGCGTCTCATGACCTTTGCTTGGCCTTGCCTGCTCCCCAAAACCTGCGTGGATCCGGCCTGCAAGTACAGCGGCCACCTCTTGCTGGCACACATTATCGCCAAGTTTGCCATTCACAAAAAGATTGTGTTACAGGTAGGCATGCACCAAAATTTCAGCTGCCAAAAATACTATAAAATTATTATTTTTTTCTGATTGCGTTTGAACAACAATTTAAATATTTTAAATTTTTATTCCTGTAATGGCAAAATTTTCAGCAGCCATTACTTCAGTCTTCAGTGTCACATGATTACAAAGGAATCGTTGTAATATGCTGATTTAGTTCTCAGTTATTGTTAATTATTATTGGTGCTCAATTAATAATGGTTCTTATTATTACTCGTGTTGAAAAAAGTTTGGCTGCATAATATTTTTGTGGAAACCTTTATACTTGTTTTCAGAATTCTTGGAATAGCAAGTTTAAAAGAACAGCATTTATTTGTAATAGAACACTTTATATATTTCTCTAATCTAGAAATTATATGTCTTTACATATATCAGTTTGATAAATTGAATGCAGCCTTGCTGAATAAAAGTAAATTTCTTAAACAAAACTGGTGTAAATCAATATTACACTGGTAAAGTAATACAATAATTTTTTGCTATTTTCTAATTTTATTTAAGCCATTTAAAAATCATTAGAACCTATATATTGCTGTGATTTTAAAAAAAGACTACAATTAGGGGATTCATTTTCTGCTTTTTTTTTTTTTCTAGAATTTTTTGGCTTGAGCCATGATGGAATTAAAATGTATTCAGCAGACCAAATCTTTAGTGGTTATTTCTTTTTAATTAATTAAGGAAATAACATGACACGTTTATAATAAATATGATATCAGCCCTTTGGCAGATACAATTTCTCAAACCCAAATACTTCACTTACCTCAACATTTCAAAGAATAGAAGAGTACCTCTGAGCTTTTGCTACTCAAAGTTTAGTCTTTTGGGTACTTACTTCAGTAGTCAACTTCTTCCTTCTGTGAAATGCTGTTAAAAGTCTCTGTATCGGTTCTCTGCAGGTTTTCCACAGTCTGCTAAAGGCTCATACTATGGAAGCACGTGCCATTGTTCGGCAAGCCATGGCAATTCTCACACCTGCAGTACCTGCTCGGATGGAGGACGGTCATCAGATGCTCACACACTGGACCCGCAAGATTATTGTGGAGGAGGGCCACACAGTTCCTCAGCTCGTCCACATACTTCACCTCATTGTACAGCACTTCAGAGTATGTCAAATCACCTAAATCTCACTAGTTATACTGCAGATAATTTTATAATCCAGTATTCACATTATTCTGTTTTTTATTGCACAGCCTTAGGTATTAGTTTGTTTGGTAGGTCATATAACATTTTGTTTTTTGTAGAGTTTGCTTGAGTGTATGTTTCTCTGCCTACAGGTATATTACCCAGTGAGACATCACCTGGTTCAGCACATGATCAGTGCTATGCAGCGATTGGGCTTTACCCCTAGTGTGACTATCGAGCAGAGGAAGTTGGCAGTGGACTTAGCCGAGGTGGTCATCAAATGGGAGCTCCAGAGAATCAAAGACCAACAGGTTTGTTAGCAGGAGATAAGATGGCAAAATCAGTTTTTCGGTCTTCTGTGATTTGAATTTGTACATTCCCGGCAATTAATTATGTATGAATTTTTCACTTTTCTCAGCCTGAATCGGAAGTTGATCCAGGAAGTGTGGGAGAAGGTACGAGTGGAGCCTCTGGTGCTATGAAGAGAGGAATGTCCGTTGACTCGGCACAAGATGTAAAGAGATTTCGCACTGCAGCTGGTGCTGTCGGCACGGTGAGGAAACCTTAAACCACTCGCCAGTGGCCTGAGTGTGACCACTGTAATCAGTCTCTCACGCTCTGTACCCTGATGGACGGTGCCATGTTTGAGTACATTGGCTGTATTGTGTTTGTGTTTGTATGTGCAGGTCTTTGGCCGCAGTCAGTCGATGCCAGGCACAGAGGCTCTACTTACCAAACCTGTGGAGAAACAGCACACAGATACTGTGGTCAACTTCCTCATCCGCATTGCCTGCCAGGTAGTTATCCATGAAAATAGCCACAGAAGCTGGCATGGCGTTAAACACAAACAAACAAGCAAACGGTTTCATACCTGCTTTGTGAATCTTACTGTAGTGTCCACTAATACTTACACAAGCTAAATCCCGCTCTGTGTCTGCAGGTAAATGATAGCACTAATGTGGCAGGCTCCCCCGGTGAACTGCTGTCCCGTCGCTGTGTGAACCTCATGAAGACTGCCCTCAGATCGGACATGTGGCCCCGTGCCGAACTTAAACTGCAGTGGTTTGACAAACTCCTTATGACTGTGGTAAGTCTGAACGCTTGTGGGTTTTGGTCTGTTTTCTTTTATTCATTTACATTTACATTTAATAATTTAGCAGACGCTTTTATCCTATAATAAATTATTTATATCAATTTGAGGCTGGATATGAGATTTGTGAGTTCTTGGCTCATTGTCAAAAAGGAAATTAAGAACTATCTAGACTAATGTGTAAAAAAACAGCAGATGGGATGCATGAAAATACAAATTCACTCTCTGTGACAGTAGGTGGCGCTTTTAGAAAAGCAGAAATACCCTGGTTACTTTGTGACACAAAGTGTTACATAAATATCTGTTTTTGACACCCATTTGTCACAGAGAAGAAAGGAAGTCGAACAGTGTTTGCATGTTTTTAAACAGCTGTTTAGATTTTTGTGTTCGCTATGGTGTTAATCTAATAACACCAAATAAAAGTGTGCAGAAACAAGAGAGCCAGTTCTGGGATTCTTCCTCTGCTATTCACTCAATCTAAATAAACTACTTTGTGAGCTCTACCAAGTTGTTATTTTATGAAACAGCAGTGGCTCTGGCCATGTGACGAACAGCAAGAATTGGTTAGCCAGTTTTTTTCACAGTGCAATGGAAAAAATTAACGACATGCAAATGTTTGTGTGAGTCTGAACAGACACATTAACAACTGTTCATTCAGATTACTTTTTTTTTGTTTTTTTTGTACTGAATATTTGTCTTTGTGTGAACAGGCCTTGAAGATCTTGGAGAAGATCGCCATATCCTGTTCATCTCACTTCCCTCTTCATTATTTCCAGTGCCTTTCCAAGTAGTTTTTATTCCAGCCAAATCGATATCCTGACTCTTATGAATGATTTTTCTTTCTTTGGAGTTCAGTGGTGTGACTAACTCAGCTGTCATCTGAGAGAACAGCTCTCAGTTAGTGAGCGTCCACCACCTGCACTATTATCACTGCAACCTCCCATCCTTCTCTCACTTCCTCTCTCATTCCACCTGTTATCAGGCAATGGGCTTCCTGTCGTTCGGACACACCACTCTATCGATTCTTTTCAGGGCCTGACAGTTATGCAACTCCCTCTGCTCATGTAGCCTGTGATTGAAATGCTCTGATATGGCAGAGAGGAGGCTGTCTGTACCTTGGAGACTTTTAGACAAAGGACTTTTAATTTGTCCTTTGCTCATCCAAAGGTTAGATCATGCTTTCTTGTCCTCCTAGGAAGTATTCAGAACAATTAATGCTTTGGGAAAATTGATGTTCTGTACATATGATGAGTCCCACATGACACATGCTGTCTCTCTTGTGCCCTCTTTTCAAACAGCCAGAAAAGCTGACGATTACCACTCTGCCATATCTTACGTCTTTATTTTCAGCATGGGTTTGACAAACAGGTCACTCATCGTCTGTGGCCCAGAGCCCTTTTGAGGAAGTGAGGTGCTCTTTTCAGCTCTCTTATACAAACTAATGGCCAGTGCTGCAAACTCATTGTGTCGGCTTGTCAGTGATTAAAGGACAGGCTGCAGGGACGAGCTTAGCTTTGTGCAAATCTGTCTGCCAGTGTCTCAGTCCTCAGGGTCAGACCTTAGTTGTCAATATTCAGTGGCCCCTGAAACCTAATCAACTCTGGTTTTTACTCATTGTGCTAAGCCTGTGCGTTACTTGACTTAAATGAGAGAAGGAAGGGATTTTTCTCAGTTAATTTTAGCACTTTGTGTGGCATGAGAAGTTTCAGTAGTCCAGTAAAATGTCATGATTCTCGTTACCACAGCATAAACATAAGCATTATTTAGAAGTGTTTAGTAAAATTATGTAAGCATTGCTTCAGGTAATCAATCAAGTAAACAGTTGGTTAATCAAAAACAATAAATCAAACATACAAATGAAGTAAACAGTGCTTGAGGTACTCAAATTAAATGGCAAAAAAACCCAAAACACTACCGCTCAAAAGCTTGGGGTCAGGATGTTTTTAATTAATACTTTTGTTTAGCATGAATACAACAAATTGATCAAAAGTGACAGTGATGATTTCTTTTTTTTTTTATGACCTATTATGCCCCTTTTTACAAGATGTAAAATAAGTCTCTGATGTCCCCATAGTGTGTATGTGACGTTTTAGCTCAAAATACCCCACAGATAATTTTTTATAGCTTGTTAAAGTTGCCACTTTTAGGGTATGAGCCAAAACTCGCCGTTTTTGCGTTTGTCCCTTTAAATGCAAATGAGCTGGTGCTCCCGGCCCCCTTTTCAGAAGAGGGCGGAGCTTCAAGAGCTCATGCTCTTGAAACAAACAAATCTCACGCACTGACAATGTCAGAAACTCTCAAGTGGCCGACTTCACATTGCTTTCATATGCAATTTTAACTACCACATTCCTATTTACACATTCCTATTTAGGCAGCATCAGTGAAAAGAGGCAGAGACAATGGTAGCTTTAGCAACATTAGCCTTACAGAGTGCCAAGAAGCTCTTTCAGGAAGGCAATTTGGAAAACAAAATATGACGCGCTTTGTCTGGGGCTGACGTTCACGGATGATGCATTGGTATTGATCTGATTTCAGAATCAACTTTTGCGAAATTCCAGAGTTGAAATGACCCTCATTTGTGAGGCAGTCCGGCATAAAATGATTGGCACAATCACAATGGACTTTACAGATTTTTTTTTTCAGGACATTTCCTTGGAAAATGAAAATTCACCACAGTGTCCTCAGCAGCTCAGATGGAGGGAGTCTATGGAGACTCCTATGTTCATTTGTGCATCCCAAAACACAACACTTCTAATGCCTCTTTGGTGCTGACAAGCAGCTACAGACAGAAAACAGTAATGGCGGACTGCTGCTTCTCACTCTGTGCTGTCTAATAGGGCAGAGATAGTCACAAATGACCGAGACTTTTTCCCTACAATGATGTGTACATAGGGAGAATCGCTTGTTCTGAGAGACATTTTATGATTTATTGGGATTATAAAAAAATGAGTGGGTGGATTTTTATTTTTTTACCATTATAGGCTGGTTGTTTTCACACACTGCAGCTACACAACTGTGTTCAAACACCTTATAAAAGTGATTTCTGCATTATAGGTCCCCTTTGAAGCTTTATTTTTATTCGGATAAGACAGATCAGAACTGACAGGAAGAGGTGTGATCGGGGGCGGGATCAAGAAAGGTCCCCAAGACAAGATTCGAACTTGGGACGCCTGTAGCGCAAAGGCGCTGTATGTCAGCGCACTGCCCCACAAGGCTATCGGCACCGACGATAGTAACGATTTCTGTTTCAATTAATGCAGTTCTTAAGAATCTTCTATTCATCAAAGAATCAAAGAGTCATGGTTTTCAAAAATATATTAAAGGGGTCATATGATGCGATTTCAATTTTTCCTTTGTCTTTGGAGTGTTACAAGCTCTTGGTGCATAAAGAAGATCTGTAAAGTTGCAAAGACTAAAGTCACAAATCCAAAGAGATATCCTTTATAAAAGTTAAGAGTCATCCACACCTACCTAAAACGGCTCGTTCTAACACGCCCCCACATACCTACGTCAGACTGTTTCCTGATTCTGTTCTGACTCACAGACTGTAAGTAAGTTTTCTTATATTTAAAGAATTTGCCACTGACGATTCAAACGTGAGTTTTGGCCAGTATAAGTCATTGTAATCCGTAATTATGTCCCCACTGGATGCAACAAATGCCTCGTTTATAATGGGTTTTAATGTTTTTTGTCTCGTCGCTCCAGGATACGGCATCACGATATGGTAAGGGGCGTAACATTTCCGTCACACGCTTGAGGTTTTCTGCCAATCACGCACTGGATAGCTGCCAAATCAGAGCACACCTCGCTTTTCAGAACGATGAGCTTTGTAAAAATCTACACATTTCAGAAAGGCGGGGCATAGAGGAGAAACAATAATGTATAGTATGTGGAAAATGTGTTTTTTGAACCTTAAACCGCATAAACACATTTCATTACACCAAATACACAAAATAATGTTATTTTTAGCGACATCATATGACCCCTTTAAGCAACATAACTGTTTTTAACAGTAATAATAGAAATGTTTCTTGAGCATCAAATCAACATTATTTTAGATTCTAATGGACCATGTGACATTTAAGACTATAGTAACGGCTGCTGCAATTTCAGCTTTGCCATCACAGGAATAAATTATACTTTAAAATATATTAGATTAGAAAACAGTTATTCTAAATTGGACAAACATTGTCACAACATTATATTGCTATTTTACTATACTTTTGATCAAATGCAATCTTGGCAAGTATAAGAGACTTTTCTCAAAAACAGTAATACATCTTACCAATCTCAAACTTTTGAACTAGTGTCTGTTCCTCTGTACCTCATCATTCAGCATATCCTTCTCTGTTTTTCAGGAGCAGCCAAACCAGGCGAACTTCTCCAACATCTGCACAGGGCTGGAGATTCTCAGCTTCCTTCTCTCAGTTCTGCAGCCTCCAGCCATCCTTGCGCACTTCAAGCCTCTGCAGCGTGGCATTGCAGCTTGCATGACCTGTGGAAACACCAAAGTGTTGAGGGCAGTCCACACCCTCCTATCCAGACTCACGAGCACCTTCCCCACAGAACCTAGTGAGTAGATCATGCTGTGATTGATGATATCTTCACCTAGAGTCCTCATTTTGGCAAAGCTGCGGATATGTACGGTGAACAATAATTGCATTATTTGATTTGCTCCAGTGCAAGATGTAGTCTAAAGGCCAGTATTATGGTCAGCAGCTGTTAACAAACACATAAATTCTTTGAATCTCCACAGAGGTTGTGAAATAATAACTTTAGACACTCTAGTGATTATCGATCTAATGTGATAATTATTTACGTTAAAACATTTTTTTCTAATATTTTGTTTTTTCTTTAGGCACATCCTCAGTGGCTTCCAAGTATGAGGAGCTGGAGTGTTTGTACGCTGCCGTAGGGAAGGTCATTTATGAAGGCCTCACAAACTACGAGAAAGCCAGCAGCGCTAACCCAACTCAATTGTTCGGTGAGAAAATGTAATGGCTCTACTACATGACCAAAGGGAGTTTTTCTGGAAAATCTTCCCCAACACAAAATAGATGTTACGGTTTTCAAAAAGGTCTTTTTTTCAGTTATATACTTATAAAATGTAAATCATATATTTATATACTTACCACTCTTATGCAGCAAGCATGCATTAAATTTGACAAGATTACTGTTTTTACTGTATTTTTGATCAAATAAATGCAGTCATGGTGAGCATTTTTCTAAAACGTATTAAAAAAATCGTACTAACTTTAAACTTTTGAATGGTAGTGTGGATCCATTTCAGATAAGACATTTTTTATAATGAAACACTTCGTTGTTTCACAATTTAGAGTTCATCTTTAATTATGTTTCATAATTGAAAACAAAAAGTGATGAAACTCTATTGGATAACATTCTAAAGTTACCAGTGTTTCATTTCAGCCCAAAATGGCACCATTGGTCAATAAATGCCTCCTGATTCCGCTCTGGCAGTGCTCTAGAGTTACATTTACCACTGATGTACTGTATGTGTCTCCATCGAGGGTGACTTTTCACATTTATCTTTCCTCCCCAGAGCTGTGATCTAAGAAATGCATTACTCATGCTTTTTTTTTTTTTTGTCTCCATCCTTACCCGGTAACTCGGTTAGATTTCTCCAGAAACGTCCTTGTAATACAACTACAGGGACAAAGGAGCTGCACCCAAAGTCATTAGCAGGCACATGTCGCTTGCTGTCCCTGACAGTGTCGTGAGGGCAGCGGGGCGTCATGTTACCAGCTTCTCTCTCCTCTTTACTTCCAGGAACGCTGATGATCCTAAAGTCGGCCTGCAGCAACAACTCCAGCTACATCGACCGCCTCATTTCCGTCTTTATGCGCTCCCTGCAGAAGATGGTGAGAGAGCACCTGAGCCCACAACCCAACCCCGGAGCCGCTGAAACCAGCACAGGTGACCATTCTTTAGACTCTTGGGTCAAGGATGTTTTTCCACCAAAGATACATAAAAAATTTATTTCACCTTAAGTAGTTGGAATAGTCCATTATTATTATTATTATTAGGGGCGAAGTACCGTTAGTCTTATTTTTCTTTTTCTGCTCTTGTGTCTAAGGCAGCCCATATAACTGCTTGTAGGAAAGTAATGAAATTTGGCACACAGATAAAGGATAGTCTGAACAGTAATGCATAACAAATTTGGATTCTCTACCTGTATGGTTTGATTGTACCCTCTGACATCATTTTCTGTCATGAAAATTTAGCTTTTTTGAATTTTCTGTAAAAATTTACTTTTTCGAACCTTTGCTCAGATATTCACAAAAATTGTATTGGATCATCTTCAGACCATGCCAACAAAAATGTAGGAAATTCAAGTTGATTAATTAAACTGTTCTTGACAATCACACCAAAATGAATGTGAGGCTATATCTCTACAATGCTGTAGCGCATTGAGAACTTGGTGTGTTTTGCGGCAACCATGAACTGAGGCTATCTGCAGAATTTTGGCACAGTACCACCTAGTGGTCAGGAGATATAAAAAAAGGATTTTTTTGCCTATAAATTCTAAAAAGTTTGGCCATAATCAGCCAAACATCCTGTCCGTCATTTTAATTTTCTTTTGCCTATTTTTTAAACTCCTCCTAGACCAGGGGTTCCCAGCCCTGTTCCTGGAGATCTACCTTCTTGCAGAGTTCAGCTCTAACCCTGATGAAACACACCTGAACTAACTAATTAGGATCTAAAGGAGCACTTGATAATTACAGACAGGTGTGTTTGATCAGGGATGGAACTGAACTCTGCAGGAAGGTAGATCTCCAGGAACAGGGTTGGGCACCCCTGTCCTAGACTGATTTTCACCTAATGCCTAGTTCACACTACAGGATTTTAAGCCCGATTTGCAAGTTAATGAGCTCGCCGACAGGTCGCGCTGTGATCGGGGGAAAATCAGCGGGTGATTGGCGCACGGCAATCTTTATGTGTGAACTACACAACGACGCGTTGCCAACACCTTGCCGATGGCAAACAAATATCTAGCATGCCAAATATCTGGACCGGTCGGCTGACTCAACATCACGTGGTGTCAGGTGTCGTGACGAGCTACAGCCAATGAGGGAGCAAGGCATGGGTTGAGGTCACCGGTAGAAAAACAACAGCAGCAACAGGCTTAAAGAAAAGTTTGGACACAATAAATGGAGCAAAATTTTTCATCGAGCAAACCGCTTGCAGCGCTAATTTCTTCCCGACATCCATTTTCAAATAAACAACTCCTGTTTCACGTGTTGTTTCGCGTCATTTCCGTTCCAATTCTCGTGCGTGTTTTCATGACAAAACGTGGTTTGTAGGGTCGTTGGGTGACAGAGTTGTTGTCAGCTTGTGTAGTGTGTAACCCCCGGTTGCGGATCATTTACTCTATAGTCACGCAGTGTGAACACCACAACGACTTAAAGACAGACAATCAAGTCATGTAGTCTGAACAGCACAGCGATCTGCCGACGTTTAAAGTCATGTAGTGTGGACTTAGCCTAAGGCTGGCCGCACACTAGACGATTTTAAGGCCGATTTTAAGTCTGATTTGCATCCCACGATTGATCAGGGGGTGTGGCCTGATTCGCGGCTTGTCGCAAACAATTTTTTTGTCCGAAAAATCCTCTATTGTGTGGTGTCATTTAAGATTATTTATCTGGTCCCGATCGAGATGGAGCGTCCCCGAACTCAAATCGTAAATATCAAACATGTTTGATATTTACGACTCTTGATCGGGCTGCCTCTGACATGATACCCGCGATAGCCAATGAGAGCGAGCAAGCATCACCTACCGGATGTTGCGTGCTTCTATAGCTGAAACTTGGCAGCCACAAACATGCCATGAAAGCAGAGAACATCACCCATATTCTTTTCTATACTTTGTTTTCTCTGTGAAACAGAACGTGCGCCAGGAGAGCCAGCTGACAACTTTGATTGTCCTCTATTTGTTTTTCTTCTCTAGTCACGTTTGATCTCGCGAGTGTCCGTGAGATCACGTGTCACTGTGAAATCGTTCCTACAATCAACGAGTGTGTGGTCTCGCGATCTGGTCGAATCATGTAGTGTGTGCGTTCAGAGGATTATAAGGCTAAAAATCGGTTGAACTGTCTTTATGTCTGTGGTCTCTCATGGTTTTAAAATCGTTTAAGATTTGAAAATCGTCTAGTGTGCGGCCAGCCTTACTTAACTCTACTTCTTCAGACCATGCCGGTAAAAACTTATGGATTTCTTGTCAATAGACAAAACCATGTTGATTTTCCACATCAGCGAATTTGATGGCATGATGCCAGAATGCATCTGAGGCTGTATCTCTGCAAAGCTTTGACACATTGATTGCAAACTTTGTCTGTGGCGTTGTCACCCAATACTGACCACACCAGATTTGTGGTGAGACCAAATTTGGTGTCGGTGCCAACTATTGATCAAAAGTAATAAGCAAATATCACACTACAAGTGATTGTATTCATTGGTTTTCAACCATTTTGCTTCAAATTGTCTCCAAATGTCTTTACTCATTTTTGTATTTAGTCTGATGCTCACTGTCTTGCATTTAGCGTCTTGTTTTGTTCCAAGGCGCTTATTTTGTTGGCCCCTTGATTGCTGCTTGCAATTACTCATAAATTTATTATTAGTATTATTTTATTTTTTATTGATATTTTAAATTAAAATTATAATTAATATTTGAAATAAAGTAATGATACAACCAGCATGCAGAAATGAAACCGGATATTGTATCATTGTATCAGAGATGACCCCTGCAGACCCTGTCTGTTAAGGTCAATAAGTCTCCTAAAATATAAGATCATTTGACTTTGATTTATCAGTCAAGGTTTGTAGTCATTAGTCAGATTGGAAAATGTCATGTAGTGTGACTTCCCAATATTTATTTCAATAATAATCCCTGATATTTGTAAAAGAAAATACTTTTTATCTTGAAAAGTATATTTAAGTTATATTGCATATTCAAGCTAAGGCAAATAATATATTACTTGATGGTTGGTTGCACCACATTCTTTTTAGAGTTGAAATTACAAGTTTTCTTGGAAATGGTACAAAAGTTTTTTCATAACTATACGAAAACAAAATGAATACAAAGAACACATTTCTAGAAACTTTGCATGCATTTTAAATTCAATTATTTATTTTTTTAAAGATTTTTCTTTTATCGTGTACGCTCTTATGGCATTGACCCCCAAGTAAATTTAAACAGAACAGGTAGCACACAGGTCAGATCAGTTCTTCTGTTGACGGCACTCGATGGATCACTAAATCATCTGAATCGATCCTAATTGGTTGCTGTCTAGAAGCAACCATGTTAAGTTAACACAATACAGTATGCGATACTCAATTTAAACAATCTTGTGCTTTAGCATTGGCCTCTTTCTGTCATTATCCCATCTGCACTTGGTTAGCATCACTTCCTTCCTTTGAGGAGGCCGTTTTCAAGCCTTTAAAGATTTCAAGCTTGTCTTTATTTTGAATGGTATATGGAAGCCAGCTGAGGTAGGTTAAGATCTATTGCTTCGTCTGACAGAACGGGTCCTCTTCCTCTTGGCCCAGAACTGACAGTCTGTCTTAAATTTAGGCTCTTGACAGTATGATGGAAAAATATACGCTCTTACTGGGACAGCTTTAATCCTGTTGTCTGCAGTCTTCTGGAGGAGTTTAAAAAGTGGGCAGAAAGACAAAAAGACACGTTGTCACCTTGGAGCAGAGTGTGAGAGAGAACCGTTCGACTTCAGCATGCGCTGTCCATATTTGACCACTGGGTGCTGCAGGAGGGCCAATCAAATGTTCGGAGACCGGCCCACAAATCCATCCATACTGAGAAACATCTTCTGTGATTGAAGTCAAAAAGCTCCCACTGTGTCCACCGGAATATAAAATCCAGACAATTCCATCTGCTCAGTGCCTTCTAGATGCTATTATGGTTTTTAAATGGTACATGGAGATGGGATTGAACAGACACACGCACACACATTCGCACACTTTCGGTGCTGTCTGAAGGCCTCAAGCTGCAATGTCACCCTGACAGCGTCGCCCAAGACCCCCTCACAGCGCGAGTCAGCGGCGAACTGGAAATCAGCCTCTAACATATTCTCCCCCAAGGGTTCGACTCATCAGAACAATCACATTTTACCTTGTGCAAATCAAGCAGAAAATACATTCAGAGGCCAGACTAAACTCATAACCCGTCTCCTTTCTGCTGCAGCTCTCCATGCTAAAACTCAATCACGTTTCCCCCGTTTTCAGCAGGCAGAATTTTGTATTTTATGGTTCATATCCTCAGCTGTCTTTTACAATTTGTGATGTATGTTCGATGGTAGCCTTTGAGATTTATGTATCATTTTGCTGTGTGTGTGAGCCCGTGTAGTTTTTCCTCTTTGTTAGGTTTGGAAAATCATAGAAGGCCTGTGAACCTCAGCGAAAGGGAAAATCGTAGTGCTGTCATGTAATGTCATGTTCTTCTATGTTTGACTGTAGTGACGAGCGAGTTGGTCATGCTTAGTTTGGATCTGGTAAAGGAGAGGCTGTCGGTCATGAACATGGAAATGAGGAAGAACTTCATCCAGGTCATCCTCACCTCCCTCATCGAAAAATCTCCTGACCCAAAGATTCTTCGAGCTGTGGTGAAGATTGTGGAGGAATGGGTCAAGAACTCTGGCAACACCATGGCTACCAACCAGGTAAAGTCTCACAGGCTGCTGCCTCAAAATAAAAATTCTGTTAACACCTGGTGACATATTATGAGGAATTTTCGTTGGTCTTAACATACTTAAGTGTTCCAAAAAGTAAGCAAAGAGTATAATTTTAATTTTAAAATTATTTTTTTTAATTAAGATTATTAAGATAACTAAATTTAAATAACTAAGACTTGTTGGGCTACCCCAGAGTTGTGCTTCTCCTTCTCCTTGTGCCTGACCCTCTGGTTGAGATGGTTCAAACCATGTGCTGTTCGTGGCAGCAAGTTTATTTTTTAAAAGATCTCTAATGGAACTTTTTCACATTTCCGGGTTTCTCAGCAGTGAATGGGAGAGTACCACAGATATATTTCTTGCATTTCCATTTGCTCAAATAGCAAAAGAAAAACTCTATGATAGTGTTTTCATGACTTTTAAAAAAAGGAAAAGAATTGAGAGAGGCTGATAACGGCAGTCAGATGAGAGAGAACAATAATGTCAAATTTACCGTCCCTCCCATAGACGCTGCATTAGAAACACTCTCGCATTAGCGTTAACTAGTTTTTTTTTGGTAATTTGATGCAAAGGTGATATAATACAAAGTATAGTGTTATAAATGTACGTACATTTAAAAAAAAAAAAAAAAGTTAAAATATAAAAAACTTTTGAGGATTTATGATGCTGATGATGACCGTTAAACACATCACACTCTTGTGAAAAGGGTCCCATCATTTTAGTCTGATCTTCATAGTTTGTCATACATTTTGGCATAGATTATTTTGTGATCCTTTCACAATGTAATACAGATTTTGCAAAGAGACTGTTGAATGATAGGGCAGTTAAAAATGACAGTCTACAGCAAGGTCAGGGAGAGAGAGGAAAGTGACCATTATAACTGGACCTCAGGGAACAGCGTTCAATAACAAAAAATGTATGACAAGACATCTTAAAAAGAACATTTATTCATTTTTTCATTAAGTCATTTTTTTAATTGTTATTGTTAATTAAATAAATTTTTAAAATTGGCTGTCATTTTTAAAAGAATGTAATCTAAGACAGAAATAAAAGACGGAAAGAAAATCTAAATTTATGAAAAGAGAAAGAAAGCTTAACGTTCAAGTGCGTTAATGCTGCACCACCAAACAGAGTTCCGAGTTGTTTTTAACAGGTTTTCTTCTGTCTGATCAATATATAATCCCACCCAAAACTCGCGCCACTGCGAGCCAATGTTGCTGGTTGAGATTTCTGAAACAAGCAGGACTATGATTTGATAGCACTGTAGTGCTTAGAGTTCTTAGGTAAATTGACTATAAATGGCTAAACCTGATTCATATTTCATGCATTCTTGTTTGAACATGATTTAATTGATTTCCATTTCTGTAGACTTGCTACCCGCACAATTGTAAACCAACCTTTTGTCGACTCAGTGTTAAACATTTGAGCTCAAAGCCTATCCTGCTATAAATGAGGCATTGTGTATTCTGTGCGCTGTGGCCCGGACAGCTGAACCCAGGTGTCTGTTCTGTTAGCCCAAGGCAAGAGAGCAGACAGGGAGAAAAAGGAGCCGAGCTAAGGTGCTGCACAGCTCTCCTGATAGATGAAAGATAAATGGACTGTATCAATCCGTTACCCCCTTCTCCTCCTCAGCTCTCCTTCTTTTCTACTGTCTTAGGCTCTCTTTGTATTCGTTTCTCTTTCCTAGGTGCCTAATCCAAGAGAGAAGTCCATTCTGCTGGTGAAAATGATGACCTACATTGAGAAGCGCTTTCCTGACGACCTTGAATTGAATGCCCAGTTCCTGGACCTCGTTAATTACGTCTACAGGTAATTACGCTGATTAATCACAGGGTCCGCTGTCCGCGCTGGCCTTCCATCTATTGCCATTAGCCAACAAGACTGTGGCTGGTGGGTGGTAGCCCCATTTTGATTGCTAAAGTTGGGGCTGGTGGTGTTTGGCGGCTGAGGGGCAGGAGGCATTAGGGGTTACCATCACCCTGGGCAAGAGAGCATTTCTCCAGCGTCAGGAGCAATTCATCCTGGTGAGAACCCATAGGCTTAAATCAACAGCTCTAGTTGTATCTACGCTGGAACACATGTAGTCCTTAATAGCTGTTGTTTGCTAAAGACCCACCATGTTGTTTATTGTCACTCTGTATCAGAAGGTAAACACAACAACAGTCTCGCAGCGTTTGTCTAAAGCACTTTTTTACTGTTTTTTTTTTTCAGAGATGAGAACCTCTCAGGAAGTGACATCACATCCAAGCTAGAGCCAGCATTCTTGTTAGGGCTACGCTGCACCCAGCCGCTGATCAGAGCAAAGTTTTTCGAGGTGTTTGATGCATCAATGAAGCATGTTAATAGACTTAAAAAAAAGAAAGAAAGAAAGAAAAAATATAATTTTAAATAAAATAAAACCTAAAATGTTGATTGATTTAAATAAGCAAATAAATGTATGTAATTGGAATGTGTTATACAATAAATAATATTATATTAATAATATTAAAATATTTTAAAATATTTATTATAATATATATATATATATATATATATGTATATATATGTATGTTTAAAGCAATGCTTTCATTTATAATTTCTATGATATAACATTGCATGTCACAACACAGGATATGTCTACAGATTTTTTTTTTATAATTAAAAAAATAAATGCAGATTGTACAATTGTAAATTTTCAATCATGTTGTAAGCTCTGTGCAGAGTGGATAATACTTCATAATTATGCACATGCTTAAATTACATAGAAGCTAATTGCACCTTGCATAGCAGTTGTATGCATACTGTATCATTTTAACGTCACAGTTTTCCTCTTGATGATTTTATCAAAACTTCAGCTGGATTTTAGATAATTATTCTTTTGTTGTTAATACATTCACCATGATGTAACAGCTCTGGTGTTTGGCTGCTCCCGCTCAAGTCAGGTCACAATCCATCCATCTCAGCCACAATCAATGCTACTCTGGCTCTTGAATTATTAACGCTGTCCTACACATGACGCGGCTGGGTGCGCGAATCAGCCTGCCGTGATAGACTAGAAGAATATTCACTGTTGGAGCTCTGCAGCCAGTGTCAAGCATTTAGATATATATTCGCAAGTGGTTAAAATGGCAGCTGTTAAACAATGCTGGCTCATGCAGGTGCCATTTATGTGTGAATGTTAGCTACTTTCTTCCAAGTGTTGTGATCTTCACAGAAGGAGCAGCTGTTTGCTTGCGTGTTTTAGGAATCGTGGCAGTTCAGAGTTTGATTCTGTCGTCTCTGCTTCACAGCTGCTGCTGGCGGTCTGTGAGAGGAACACCACCATTGGCACCAGCTGCCAGGGCTCCATGCTCCCCTCCATCACCAACGTCATCAACCTGGCTGACAGCCATGACCGTGCAGCCTTCGCCATGGCAACGCATATCAAACAGGAACCTCGTGAGAGAGAAAACAGCGAGACCAAGGAGGAGGTCAGCTGTGCCATTCAGTGTATACAAACATCTGTACAAAAAGCTTGTTTGTGCCTTTATTGCCTAATTTAGCTGAATCTAGTATCACACTCTGATATATAGAGAAAGTTCTGATTATGTTATCACAAAAGTGATATATATATATATATATATTAGGGCTGCCACTAACGACTAATTTTATTTTGATTAATCTATCGACTAATTTATTGATTAATCGATTAATCTAAACGATTAATTTCCCACAAAAAAAATCAACCATTTTAAAGAACATTTTATTAAACAATCCAAATTTCTATGAAATCCTTTTTTTAAAGCAAAAATAAAGTGCAACAGAGTGCAAGAAGCAAGTGTCCATCTCATAGTCCAAATCACTGAAATCAAAGTTCAGTATTATAGTGTAAGAATGACAACACGTCCACGTGTTCTGGTCTACTAATAATAAAATATTATAATAATTAATTTTTGTGGTAATAAAAATAGATGTAGGTTGAGTGAACAATAGCCTTTAAATCTACTTAAAATACATATATAATAGCAATGAGGCAATAATAATTAGTTCAAATAAAGTATCAAAAGCAAGAAATCATGGTTTTATTGAACAAAACTGTTAACATACTGTATTATAATTAAATAGAACAGCTGATCTATATATAATTATAAAATAATATAATCTATTCAGGGCTGTACGTTAACTTTTTTTTCACATAGCACTGGTGCTACAGAGGTTGAAAGTTTTGTAGCACAAGCCAAAAAGTTATAGCACAAGTATAAAACGTCTGTTATCATGTCTGAAAACAAACATAAGTAATGGAGTTCATCACTTAAACAGGCACTGATGTTCCATACAGAGCACAAAAAATACAAACCATCACAAAAATACAAAGTTTTCTTAATTTGCCAAAAATGGAAGAGTGCAGAAACATAACACCTCTTACACCTTAACAAAATATAAAATAAAAAACAATGGCAGACATTTAGG